AGCTCCTTGGTGGCTTTGCAGCCGGGGCACATGTAACTCCAACACTTGAGCTTATTTCTTTAGAAGATATTTACCTTATAGAAATACTTCTTTCTGTGCTGTGCACTGTGTGTAAATACCACAGCTACTCCTGCTGGCAACACATCTGCTGCTGTCTCCAGCTTTCCCCAGCACATCGGGACGACCTGAACTGTATGCAGGCTCTTGCAGGGAGGGCTTGTTCCTTTTAATTCTCCTACAAGTGCTATGCACATCTCCTATGCTGTGTAAATAATAACCATGCAGCTAAGCTGGCTTCCAGATATAGCTGACCTGGGTAAGGTAACAGGAAAACCGCATGTATTTTGGAGCTTAACTTTAGTAACACCAGGTTTAATGCCCATTTCTTTCACTGTTACTTGAAGAAAATGAAACACTGGACATGACACACAAATAATTTCACATTAGACTTTCATTTCTAATCACACACTGCTGGAGTTTCGGAAACAATGTGAAGACAGAGCTCCGCTAATTAGATGTCATCTCCTGGCTCAGCATCAAAACTAAGATCAGACAAAACTTCTTCTTCGAGGTCAAACTGTTCCAAGGACAATTCATTGACCTGTGAAGAGAAATCCAGAGTAAATTTCTTGCTTTACAATATATTTTAGCTTAATCTCTGCACCTGCAGACAGGGTATTTTTGAGAGAGCCTCTCCAGAATTTACCAACTCGGAACATTCCTGTTTCTGAATGACTGACTGTGATCACAGGGCAGTGAGCCAAGAGGACACCCAGTACCTCTCCTCCCAAGCAAGTCCTTCTGAATGCCTGTCTGTTCCTCTCCCTATCAGGCTGGAAGTTGCCTTGTGGAGAGAGCATGTTGGAATTACCTCCTACACACCATCACAAGGGAAGTGAGGTAGCAGGGGAGGGGAGGGATGGCTCTTGTGGTAAAGGAGAGGTTTGAGAAGCAGCAGGCTTTCTATTTAACTTCCCTGCTCACTTCTCCTATGGTCAGCATGTTAGGTCAGCTCTCTGTGGGTTTAAGAGAGGTCAGACAGAAGGGGCTGCAGAGGAAAATGCAGTAGGAATTTCATCTTCTCAACTGCTTAAAAAAAATCTGATGAACATTAGTTACTTCACACAGCAAAATGCTCCTGTTTTACTACTAGGAGGAAAATAGCTTTGCCCATGGATACTAGGTGACTCAGTGTCACCAAATGGAGTGACGTGTCACAAGGCTCCTTAGACAATTCCATCCTTGCTCACGGGGTGCGTGGATGCATCATGTGAGAGTGATGCTTCTTGTCCAAAGACCATTGTGTCAGTGATGTCTCCTGGTAAGCAGCGGTGTTTTCAGACTAAGCAAGATGCAGCTGCTCTGCTCATGCCTGGCCTGTGTGCACAGGCTGGCACACAGAACTCACCTCGCTGAGCATAATGACTCAAGTTTTGCTGTTGTACTGGGGTATTTCTGTTTGGTGTGTGCAAACAGATCCCTCCGTTACCTGCAGGGATTTCACCAAAGCTTTTCACAATCATTCCCTCCGTATAAGGCTCATTATGAAGTACATTTCTAGATGGGGAGTTCGAGTTATTTAAAAACTTACGGGAAAAAAATAATTTGATTTAACCTTCTGTGACTTCAGTGGGATTTTCACTCTCACAGACTCTACAAAGAGCTGTTCTGGACACTGTCATGTGTGAGGCTTATCAAGCTGTACCCTGACTGCTCACTTTCCTGTGGCATTTAAAATACACCTGCATTTCTCCAAAAATACACAAAGTAGGAGTTTTAAAACCTTAATGTGCTGTACAGTTACTTCCTGGGATTTAAGTGGAGGCAGTTGCTGCACAGGAGGATGTCAGAGGTTGTAACAGTCAACAGCTGTATCTCCAATCCCCAGAGGTAACATACAGGTCTGTACAAAAGCTAAACACCCCCTGCTCTCACCTGCACAAGCCCCTTCAGCTCCTCTTCTGTTAAGGAGTCTGTGGGCTCCTCCTGGGAGGAAGTGTACTCCACGGCCACTTTCCCATTCTCTGAAACAGAATAAACAGCAGAGCCACAGTTAGTTACTACTGTGTGTAATGACAATAAACTAACCCTAAACTCCAAATGGGATAATTCTGCTTCAGAATGGCTTTCAGAGTGAGCAGCTGGTATGAATGAATGTGCTGCTTTCTCCAGCCTTCCTCCTTGTCTTCTCTGCAGAAAACCAAATGGAGCAGAACCTGAGGAAGCAGAAATCCATAAAGAGATGGAGCATGTTAATTGTCAGTCTCTGTGCATGTGATGGATCAGAAGGCAGGAAGCACTTCAAAACATCTGAATCTAGAAACCCACCTTTCAAATGAACACCTTAAAGAAGCCAGGAGAAGAATCTCGCAGATGAAAGGCTGTAGAATGAAGACAGTGGCAGTGACCTGATCCCATCAGGATCTGTCATGATAAGCATAAAAGAGTAAAGTACTCAGATACCACATAATCAGGCATCACCTAAAATCTCAGAGAGCACAGGACCTGGAACCCAGAGGAAGCAGAAGTAGCAGTCCCTGGGTAGGCTCAAACCCAGATCCTATGATTAGGGACTCAAAGGAGATGTAGCCCCAAAGAAGCAACACTGAACACAACAGTGGGGCACAGACCTTTGTTGGTACCTGGCTGGCTTGGAATTGGGACAGGAACATGCAAAGTGCTGCAGTTCACTTCATGTCACCCCTGGAAGCAGAACCTCCTCACATCCCTATCTGGCATGCACATGTAGTGTTAAAATGCTCTCCCTGCCAGCATTTACACCCTTGGAATTTGGAATTTCAATGACTTATCACCAAAAAAATCTGACCTCTTGTGGATTTTCCTCTCACTCACACAGCTCCTAGGGTGGAACCACTCTGTTAAATCATTACAGACCACACACAGCCTTCATTTTGCTCAAGACCCCCCAAGTCTCAGCAAATCCCAAGAGAAGTTCAGAGAAAAAGGATTTGTATCAGTATCATGAAAGTTTTAATATCATCAGCACAAACACCCCGGTGTTTAATACAAAAACAAGCCTTACCTAAGACAATGAGGAGAATCTTCTGAAAGGCCCCAGACAAAGCTCTCCCAGCTGCGAGTTTCTGAACTCTTCTTGTTGCTGTGAGCAACTCGAGAGGATCTGAACACAACAGGCAGCATGTTATTGATATTAAGATGATGCTCTGCATATGAAGCACACCAGCTGCATTTTGCTAACCAAACAGCTTCACGGTCTGATAAGAGAGCTGGTTATGTTTTGGGAGTCCTCAGCAGCACCCTCACAGGGGTTTCATGTGCCAGGATACAGCAGCACATGATCCTCAGGCCTGTGCCATGAGCCTGCCCAGGGCAGGAGGCAGCACAGACACAGGCACTGAAGTGGCTGTGATGAGGAATGATAACACTGCAGGCAAGAGGGAGAGAACAGAGGGTAGGAAAGTGATAGTGGTGTGAATCAGGGAGGGAAGAGGCATGCTCAGGATCCCTTGCTGCATAGCACAGCAGCTCAGATCCTAAATTCAGACCCACAAGCTGTGCACAGGCAATACTGACCAGTGCCTATAAGAGCTGCTAAGAGAGACTTCCAGCTGCATCCAGAACATACCTGCACTATTCTCTACGTCTGCCTCGGCAAGGGCAACTCCCCTGGTGCACACCCCATGTTTGGGCAGTGTCACCTCCACAGCACACAGGTATTTCACAGATTGCTTCTCTGACGTCCTTCCTAATTCCTCATCCTCGCCACCAAAGCCAGATACATTCTGCAGCTGTTGGAAAGACCACAGATAATTAATTTGGATTAGATAGGAAGGGGATGCTATGAACACTAAGGGCTATGCCTGCATACAACACACCTTCTCTGCACAGCCTGGGACTACAAGCCAGAAACCCTGGGTGGAAGCAGAGCAGAAGCCAAGGAAATGCCCTCACCCATAGCAATCTTCTCTCCCCACACTTTCAAAAGACCCGCAATTGTGGTCTGAAATACAGATCCTGTAACTGTCTCTTATTTGCTGATTTGAGGAGAATTCCTCTCATTCCACCAACCACTATAATTTAAGAAGAGAATGAGGGAAAGGATGATGGGTGAATATAAAGGGCCCCTTACTGTGATGATGCGACTGGACCAGCCGTTAAAACCCAGGTAGTGGTTGGCCAGTTCCTGGCACTTGTTGCTGCTGAGAGCAAGGACTTGCTGCTGAAACCCCTTCTGCTTGGTGCAAACACAAACCTGTCCAGGAAAGAAGAACCCTGCTTAGCCAGGCTCTGCTATAAGCTTCCCACCACGACACACCACCTCTGGGTAGCACCCAGCCACACGTTAGTAAACCTTTTGCACAGGAAGCCTCACTGACACCAACAAGTATTCCATGCAATTCCACCCTGCTGCTGGAGGTGCCGAGTCCTGCAGGTTTCACTTGCATGTTCTGCTTACCTTCAAGGGAGACTTCTGAAACAGCCTTTGCCCGTTGCACGTGCGCTGGGCTCTGCTGGCATCTCCAGCTGAATAAAACTTGATA